GGCTCTCTTACAAATTTATTTTTCATACTTATAGTGAAAGGTATATCTTCTGTAACCTCCCAGTGTTGGCGAATACATCTTTTTTTTTGCGGGGGGGGGGAAGTACTGGGGTTTGAACTCAGTGCTTTGTGCTTGCTAGACAGCTGATCTACCACGTGAACCAGTTCACCAACCCTTTTTGTTCTGGTTATTTTGGAGGTAGGGTCTCACTTTTTGTATTGGCCAGCCCACCACGATCCTATTTTTTTTAATTGTTGTTCTGGAGGTACATTGTGGCATTTACAAAAGTTCTTACAATATATCAAATATATCATAGTTGAATTCACCTCCTTTATTCTCCTTTATCCCCTTTCCCCCATTTCTGAAATAGTTTCACCAAGTCTCATTTTTCCATTTACATACATGTGTATACAGTATCTGCACCGTATTCACACTCCTACACCTGTTTCCTTATATCCCCCCCGACTGGTACCAACCCCCCAGACAGGACCTGTTTTGCCTTCCTGTTCTCCAGTTTTGAAAAAAGAAATTACATTTTTGTTTGTTTAACATAGCTATAAAGGTTGTTTCATTGTGACATTTCCATATATATGTATATATATATATATATATGTATGTATACATATATATATGTGTATAATAACCCGAAATTGGTTCATCCCCTCTATTTATCTCCCTTCTACCTTAGTCCCCTCCTTTTAAAAAATTTTATTTTATTGTTTTTACATTTACTTACATGTGTTTACATTATTTGGGCCACATCCACAACCCCCCTCACCTCCGGGTGGAACCCATTCCGCTCTCTTGTTCTCCAATTTTGTTGAAGAAAAACCATAAAAGATAATAAGAAAAACATGGTGTTTTTGCTAGTTTAAGATAGGGATAGCTATACAGGGAGATTCTTTGTGTTGATTCCATGTATATGTGTATTACAACCCAAATTAGTTCACCTCTACCAGACTTCTTCACTACTTCCTAGTCCCCTTCCCATAGTGGCCTCTGCCAGTTTAAGGTTACTATATTCATTCCTATTCAGTGAGCACATTAACCACATTCAAGTTTTTGGTTTTCTTCCCTTTCCCTATCCCTCCTGTGCCAGGTCTCCCCTTAGTGTGTGACCCATGTCCAATAATATTACTGCATTTATTTTATTTCTATAATCTGCATTAGGGAGAACATGCGATTTTTGGCCTTCTGAGCCTGGCTAACTTTGCTTCAGATGGTGTTCTCCAGGTCTATCCATTTACCTGTGAATGACAAAAATTTCATTCTTCTTTGTGGCTAAATAAAATTCCACTGTGTACAAGTACCACATTTTCTTAATCCATTTATTGTTAGTGGGGCATCTTGGCTGTTTCCATAGCTTGGCTGTTTTGCTTAGTGCTGCAATAAACATGGGTGTGCAGGTGCCTTTGTAGTAACCTGACTCACATTCCTTCAGATAAATCCCTAGGATTGGTATTGCTTGATCATATGGCAGGTCTATTTTTAGTTTTTTAAGAAGCCTCCGTATTGTTTTCCATAGTGGTTGGACTAGCTTACATTCCCACCAGTAGAGGGTTCCTTTTTCCCTGCATCCTTGCCAACATTTGTTGTTGGTGGTGTTCTTGATTGTAGTAGTTCTAACAGGAGTGAGGTAGAATCTTAGTGTGGTTTTGATTTACATTTCCTTTATGGCCAGGGATGGTGAATATTTTTTCATGTGCTTTTTAGCCGTTTGGCCTTAGTCCCCTCCTTATGGTGATTTCAACAGGTTTAAAAATTCTATATTCATTCTTATATAGGAAGTATGTCAACCATATTCACCTTCTTAACATCCTTCTTTTACCCTCCTTCTCTTGTATGTAACTTTCCCTTAACATGACCTGTTTTTTATAATATTGCTTGTATTTGTTTTGGACCTATATTCCACACATGAGAGAAAACATGCTGCCTTTGGCCTTCTGAACCTGGCTAACTTCACTTAAGATGATGTTTTCCAGTTCTGTCCATTTACCTGTAAATGACAAAATTTCATTCTTTGTGGCTGAATAAAATTCCATTGTATATAAATACTAAATTTTCTTAATCCATTCATCAGTAGTGGGGCCTCTTGGCTGTTACCATAGCTTAGCTATTGTGAATAATGCTGTGATCAACATGGGTGTACGGGTGCCTTTATTGTGACCTCACTTACATTCCTATGGGTATATCCCTAGGTGTGGTATTGCTGATGATCCTCCTTTTATGCTTCCCACCATTGCTGAGATGACAGCCATACACTACCATGTCCAACTTTTTTCCAATGAGATGGGGTCTCAGACTTTTGCCCAGGCTGGCCTGGAACTGTCATCCTCCCATTCTCAGCCTCCCACATAGCTTGGGATGACAGGTGTGTGCTACTGTGCCCAGCTATTGGTTGAGATGGAATCTCAAAAACTTTCTGCCTGGTCTGACCTTGAACAGTGATCCTTGTGATCTCAGCCTCCTAAGTAAGTAGGATTATAGATGAGAGTTATCGGCACCCAGCTTGTGAATATATCTTAAAAGGACAAGATCCCTAAGCTTTTGGATCCCTTCTTGTGTAATATATCAATGCAGGTCTGGCATTTTAACTTCATTTAGTATAAGCCATCTTTTGGTTCAATTTAAGCTAAGCAACTGAACAGCCCTTTCTTATCACCTGAGCTCAAAATTAAACGCAAACCCTCCACTTAATGTACCCATGTCAATAAACTTGGCCTGATCTAACTTTATGTTCCTTCCATCATTATCCTGTATTTAATATCCATTCCCATACTTATTCCTGAGATTTTGGTCTGTATAAATTGGAAAAACCATACAGTTCTTTTGGAGTGTATGATACTTCCTCTTGGCTTGCACTTTGTACTTCACCTTTTAGGCGTCATCTGGGACTTAAGCCTAGTTGTAGGTCTAGAGGCAAAGAAGGATGGGTAGGGGTTGGATGCAAGGGTGATCTGGCTGTGATGTCTGTCATGCCATTGATTGCCAGGTTGATCTGGCTGGCTAGGCAGATATGCCATTCCTCCCTCACCACTTCCATTGTGCATCTCTCCTGAAGCTGTACATTTGGTTGAAGAGGACAACCTTCTCAATAGAAGATTATTCTTTGGTCAAGAGTATATGAGTACCTGTGCTCTCCTGCTAGAATCTCCAAATAAGCAATCAAAGGAATCAGGACTGTCCTCCTCAGAGGAAGCCATTACAGTTTCTTTAGGAAAAGTGGGGTTAATCTCAGATAGAGATGAAATGACTGCTTCTACTGGCAAAGACTTGAGAATTTAGGGGTTCAGTGTCCCCAGATTCATCAAGATCTTCTCATATGGCTCTCATTCCAATATCTAGAACCCTGTTCCTTCACAGTCAGTGCCCCTGCTTTACCAGCAGATACCTTGTTGGGAATTCCTGTTGGGAATTCAATTTGCATTGTGATTTATCTACTCCCAGGATGAGAGATCAAGTTTAGTTTTCAGCAATCTTAGTTCTGTCGCTATAGGAGGTGAGGGTATCTTTCAGGGCAGATATAGAAACCTTGTGGTCATTTATATAGTGATCGAACCAGGGATTCAAATCTGAGCTCATCCTTTTCTTTTCCTACTTCACCCAGCACTGTTAGGATCAGCCAGCAAATCTCATTATCGTTATCATTTTGAGAAAAACAGTTATATATATAAAAATATATATTTATATATATATGAGTGTATATATACTTATATACTTACATATACTTATATATGCTCATAAATATGTATATGAGTATATATGTAAATATATATATGTGTGAGTTTATGCAAAATCTTGCCTCTTACAAGTATTTGATTAAGAATATTCACTATTTCTCTTGCTAGTGAACCATGGACTATCATTACTCTCTACTATTAGAAATAGAAGAGTTATAAGCACCTTTAAATCTAATTTAAACTAATTCTGGAAACTTCAAAAAACACACCTATAAGATTTTCCTCTAGGACCCACTCACGCGCACACACATGCACACAGAGAGAGAGAGAAAGAAATGCACAAATGAGACAAGAGGCATAGAGATTTAGTTTAAGTAACTGGCTTTAACCATTGTGGAGACTAGCAAGTCTGAAATCTGTAGGGCTGGCCAACAAACTAAAGATCTATGGAAAAGCTGATATTACACTTGAAGTCAAAAGGCAGTCTAGAGGCAGATTTCCTTTTTCCCCAGTATGTCAGTCTTTTTGTTCTTAAGGCCTTCAACTGATTAGATTTGGCCCACTCACATTATGGAAGGTAATTTGCTTTCCTCAAAGTGTACTTAGTTAAATGTTAATCTCTTCTAAAGACCTTTGCAACAAGATCCTGATGGGTTATTATTTTTTTAACCATACGTCTGGGTACTGCAGCCTAACCATGTTGACACATAAAATATGTGTAACATGTACACACTTACTACCAATCTATCCATTCAGGGAAAATATCCGTGAATATATATTTATGTAGAGATATTGTTCCATATATATGTGAACGTAGATATATAGAAACATATCTAAGATGGATATGTGTGCCTATGGGGTATTAAATCTGTATGTTGAAGTAAGTATAATACATATATAAATAATGTGTACAGATGTATATATATGAGAGAAATATACATAAAAAGTTATAGTATTTTACAAAATTTCGATAAAGCTATAACAATCATAAAATGACACAGATTTGGTGATTTAGTGTTAGATATGTTTTAAGACTCCTCTGTATGATCAATTTTATTTTCCATCATAGTGCTATCTGTGAGCATTCAGCATAATCAGGCTAAGCCTAAAGAATTCTATTAGCCATTAGTACTTGTAGACATGAACTGACACCATTTCTGCCATCCTAGTTTGTGAACTAATGTAAAAATACTCAAAATCCCTCTTAAGAAAGAGCAAAAGCTCCTAATTAAAATATGCTGAAATACTTACATATTAGGTTTTTCAATGAAGGAGGAGAGCTGTTATATGTTGATCAATATGTTGGACTTTTTAATTCAGATTTTTAAAGAACGAGAAGAAGATCTGAGGCGTTTGTCTCGCCCACTGGAATGTTCTTGTTTCCGAACATCTATCTGGGATGAAACTCTTTATAAGGTGTGTATTTTCCCCAAATTCCCTCATTTTAAAAGCATGAAAAAAACTAGAAGGACATTAACAAAACTAAAAGATTTTAAACTATTTTGTAGCCATCTAGATTTGTTGTACTAAAAAAAATGTACAACCAATTGTTTGAAGAATATCAAACTTAACATTAAGAGATTTGGGGTTCAATCTTAGATTGGGTTGACATTGTTACAAGTCACACTGAATTAGCCAGTTTGGTTGTGATTAATTTGATACTGATCTTTGTGACAGAAGAAATTTCACTTACTAGCCATCATCCATTTTGACCTGTTGTGGTCTCAATGCTGATTGGAGTTGTATGTAATACTCAGGTACCTCTACATGATAATGATATAACCTAGTTTGCTTAAGTTTGGTTGGCAATGGAAGAAAAATATTTCATGGAGAAATTTGGAGAATGGAATCTTAAAATGAGATACATTATGCCTAGAGTATAATAGCTTCAACTTTCATGCCAAATTGGAGACCGGCCTTCTTTCAACCAGAAGGATTGTTCCCATTGCTGGAATGGATACCACACTGTTTGCAGTAATTGTAGCGGTTATGACGATAGTTCTGAATGGATGAAGCTGAAATTACCATATTGTCATGTAGGTTCCTGCTTCTTCCCCTATTCCTACTGATCTAGTGATTTGAGGACTGGCTCCTTTTGGGTCCTCCTGTGGTCAAACCTTTCCTTCAGACTACTTCTGGTATCCATTGACAAATCTGACTCTGAATGGCAAAGAATCCTTCTCTGTCACTGGTAGCTAGAGCCTCAGTATCAACTGCAGCTGACAAGTATCTACAACCAGAAGCACAGAAACCCGACATACCAAGGAGAAAAACCATTGGACTTTAAAAATAGCCATTGCTTTTTTTTTTTAACTAATTCATTTTTTTCCCAAAAATTATGTTGACCCAGCCTCACTCTGATAACAACATTTTGAGATACCTGTCTAGGAAGTACTGTTCTAGATTAATATGGGCCGAATTTCTCTCAAAGCCTTATTCCCATAGAACAGGTAACCGTGAATAAGGATGGACATGACGCACTGATAAGAACCAACTGCGGTGTGAAGGATGGCAATACATAACACGACCAAAGACAATTGGCTAATCACAACACTGCTGTGAGTGACAATGTCTCTGCTGTGGTTAGCTTTGGTGCCTTCTCCAAGGTAAATTCAGCAGTGACATTAACACCAACCTGGGAACTTGGAACCTGAACCGTTATGCCTAAGTAATAAAACTAATTGGAACAGAGACATGGCACTACTACCTCTTATATCAATGTTACATAGAACTGACTTAAATTTTTATATTAAGTTTAATTCAACAAGCACTCATTACCTATCTGCTTGATACAGTTGCATACCAAAATAACTAAGATCAGGTTCCTGCCCTCTTGTAGGGGAGAGAAAAACAAAATACACCTAACCAGACAAATTGGAATGAGAGTAAAGGAAGTTGAAGGAAGTATTATAATGAAAGTACGAATAAAAGAACTTAATTGAGAATAGAGGGAGGGTGTGGTTAATTTCAACTGCTTGTATTAGTCATACTCCTCTGGATGAAGTCAGTTTTAAACAAACACACAGTGGACCTGTTTTAACTCAATTGGATGAATAATTTGTACAGACGACAAACATTTGGAAATTATAATGCCACTAGTTTCTCTTATAATGGTATATTATCCTCTCTTGAGAGGAGGGGCCATTTGTCCATGTGGCTCTGATATTTTCACAAAACTTATTCTTGGTTATATGCTAAATATTGCTTTACCAGGTTCTGATTCTTAAAGCAGTCTATGCTGTTGGTCTCACATATTTGTCACATGTCTGGATTAGAAGCTTTTTAGCACAGTAGATATTTTGCAGCTTTTTTCCTAAGGCAACATGATGGCATTAAATTACTTGCTTACTTTTAATTATCAATGGAAAGAAGTTTCTCCAGCATTTCTCAAGTGTTTGAACTTAAAAATTCAACTCAAGGATAAAAATAAAATACTAGCCTCTTTTTCTCATTTTATTCGTGTTATATTTAATGTCAGTATTTGTTTGGGACTCAATTATGATTGTATTTTGCTGTCTATATGTTATAGTGTACTTACTCATTTCAAAGGTATGAAACTAGCTACTTGTTACTAATATTACAATGTGCTTCTGTTCTGTTAGGCTTGGTCCAGCATTGTTTATCAGCTGATTCCCAATGTTCAGCAGCTGGAAATGAACCTAAGAAATTTTGCTGAAATTATTGAGGCTGATGAAGTACTTCTGTTTGAGAGAGCTACTTTTCTGGTAAAAACTTTCTACTCTACAGATAAGTTTTACACTGTATCTTTTTCTGATCAGCAGCAGAGAACATGTTCTCACTTTCAGGAAGAACCTTTTTTCCTTTGGTCATTACTTCAGCATGCACAGCCTTATTTATAAAATGCTATTATCAACAAGTGATCTGAAAGAAGTCCTTTGGTATGTAGCTGCTTATAGTCAGTAAAACTTAGATTGCTGCAGGTATGCCTTGTTAGAGTTCTCGATTATTTTTGATAATAACTTCATTTCTGATGATGGATTCCTATTTCCTGTTGACCTTATTATGAAATGTGGGGTATTCATTTCCTTTAGGGAAACCTCTCTTCCAACCTTTTCTCAAAAAGAATGAGTTGTAAACTTTTAACGTGGAAGAGATGTATGTAATGGTCAACTGGTTAATTCAATGACATAGTTAAAAGTTCAGGATGGAGAAGTGGAGGAGGAAAGAGGCATGTTGGTACTTTTACTTTTCTTATAAATTTAACTTAGCAACTGTGTTATTAGAACCTACTGTTTGTATAGCCTTGAGTGGGAAATGCAAAAACCTGTATTATTTTTATAAATTAATTTCTAAGGTTACAGTAATAAAAGCTAATTAAATGTAACTCTAGGAGCAGCTCCCAGTAAATAATTTGTTTCGGAGCTCACCAATGCTGGATGATTTTAGACACATTCCTTAATCTTTGTGAGCTTATTTCTCCTTCTGTAAAATGGTAATAATAGTATTTATATCATAAATTTATTGTGTGGATTAAAATAGGGCACCTTGCATAAGCATTGTTATGTAATTGGCAAACAATTAAATGTTGGTTATTTTGCTGGTACAGCAAAAGAGGGCAGAGAATCTAAACTGATGTTCCTCCCCTCCCCCCACCTTTTCTTTGTGGAAACACTGTATATATACCAGTATTTGGGAGCCATCCATTCTGGTAACCGGTACAGCTGAGGTAAGGAGTCCTAATTAGGGTGTCTTTCTGCATCATCCCACTTGCACAGATAACTTTCTTAGAATTACTGCTCTGAGCTCATTTTTCTAGCTGATATGATAGCAATAAGAAAGTAAGCTATTCTGTCTGTCGTGATTTGCATGGTAAAACAGAATCTTGCTTCAGTGGTATTCACTTGCCACAATTGCCACAATGACTGTAGAAGATAACTTAATATAAGCTCTCTATTCCTAACGGGGAGCTTCTCTTTCCCTTGAAGACCAAGCTTAAGTATAGTTGACCATTTTTTTCTGAAGGGGATTAAGTCAAGCAAGGTGGATTTTTTCTGCCATTGGTATAGGAATTATATTTTGAAACTTTCACATTGTCTCAGAGAATTTCCCTGTGAATTTTCTTCTGGTGAATGGCTCAGTTTTGCTTCCTTCTAGAAACTTCACATCTATATGTTTAGCCTTTAGGGTACTTGTTTGGTTTTATTGAAATTTGAGTGTGGATGAAGGAGAATGATAGAGGGGGTGAATTCAACTGTGGTATATTCTAAGAACTTTTGTAGATGTCACAATGTACCTCCAGAACTAAAATAATATGATAATAAAAAAACCCTAGTACTACAAAAATAAAATAAAATTTGAAAGTGTTAAGGAAAGTATTTCAGCTGGTGTGAGTGACCATCCTGAATAGATTAATTTAATACAGTCAGTCTTCAGGAGCTGGAGTAATCTAGTTAAGATTTTTAAAATATGATTTCAAAAGCTACTTGGTTATAGACTTCATTAAAATTTAGTATATTAAGTATACCTCTCAAGAATATGTACAGATTTTTATTTTCGTTTTTCATTTGTACTTTTTAAAATCAAAGACCATCTTGTGAAATACAGAAGTAAGACATACATTTAATGATTGAAATAAGTGAGGAAGAACATCAGTGAACCAAAATACAGATGCTCCTTGCCTTAGGATGGGGTTATGTCCTATTAAATCCTTTGTAAGTTGAAAATGCATTTGATACACCTAACCTACCAAGCATCATAGCTTAGCAACACAACTAACTGCAATTTATCAGTTGTTTGTCCTTGTAATCTCATGGCTGACTGGCAGTCATGGCTCACTACTGCTGTTTAGTATCACAAGAGAATATGGTACTGCATATCCCTAGCTTGGGAAAATTCATGCCTGTCACTTCCACACTATTGTCAAGCCAGAAGTTGAACTATCATAAGTTGAAGCCCATCTGTAGAGAATACTTAAATGATCTAATAAAGTAATAACTAAATGGTTCTTGATAGCTTATCTGAATGGATTGAAATCACACATAATGTTGACAGGTATATGAGACAAAGGAGAGGGGTCAGTAAGTCAAGTGAGAAGTCTATCCTAAAAAGCAGGGTGACCAGGAGACTGAGATATGTCTGCTTTGAATTATAACAGAGGGTGATATGAGTATAGGCACGGATTCAAAGGATATTGTTCTTTTTCACAGGTGATTTCTCATTATCAGTGTAAAGAGCAGCGTGATGCCCATAGATTTGAGAAAATCAGCAACATTATTAAGCAGTTCAAGCTGAGCTGCAGGTAAGAGATCTTATATTTGTTGTCTATTAATTTCTGGAAAGAAGGTAAAACGGGTTCTGTTTTGGAGGGGGGTTGGTACCAGCAGGAGGTAAGAGGATACAAGGAAAGGGCAGTCATAGAGGAAATATTATGTACCCAGGTATGAAAATGGAAAAATAAGACCTGTTGAAACTATTCCAGGAATGGGGAGAGAGAGGATTAAGGAGAATGATGAAGGGGGTGAATTCAACTATGATATATTTTAAGATCTTTTGAAAATGTCACAATGTACCCCCAGTATAACAATAATATGATAATAAAAAAATTTCTGCCAGGCATCAGTTGCTCACATCTGTAATCCTAGCTATTTTGGAGGCTGAAGTCTGGAGGATCGTGGTTTGAGGCCAGTAGGGCAAAAAGTTAGTGAGATCCATCTAAACAGAAAAAGCATGGTGCATGTCTATCATTCCAGCAATGTGTGGGAAGTGTAAGTCCAGGCCAGCCTGGGTAAAAAGTGAGACCCTATGTCCAAAATAACCAAAACACAAAGTTCTACAGGCATGGCTCAATCGGCAGAGTACCTGCCTAGCAAGCATGGACCCCTGAGTTCAAATCCCCATACCACCAAAAAGAAAAAAGTTAAACTCCTAAGAGAGCCTACAGTTGCAGGTTATTGTCTTTGAATGCAAACTCAGTAGGCTTATATTCTGAAGCTGAAAAATAATTTGGCCTCTAGGGTGTTATGTTTTTCTTCCCGGGACCTTCAGAAAGCAAGTTACTAAATCCAAGAATTTGAAAGAAAAGGGAACCCAGATCTCCGATTTATGCATATTCAACTGGTGTAGAAGCATAAGAAAAATATTCAAGCGGAGTATCTTTTTGAGATTTTTTTTGCTGCTTTTCATGAAGAAATAAACAGAATGTCAAATTTTTTTAGAAAAAGAAGGAAGGAGAATTTGCCCTATTAAATACCAAAATTGACTATAGAAGTATAGTAATTAAAATAGTGAGATACTGGTTTAGAAATGGTAGAGCTTTATGTCAGCTTTAACTGAATAAAATTTGAATCTTAGCCTTATGAGTGTAGGAAAAAGGAATGACTGAACATAATTTAGTAAATACTTAAAATCAGAGTTCTTCTCCTGGTAAAACTTTGATGCTTGGATAGTGGTAATAAGTTTACCTACGTTACACCTTAGCACATTTTTGAGACTTTCTGGAATGTTTATGGTAATGTTTTCTTTTTTTAAGTTTCTTTCTCATTTTATTGTTGTTCTGGGGGTACAATGTGACATTTACAAAAGTTCTTACAATATATCATAGTTGAATTCACCCCCTCCCTCATTCTCCTTTATCCTCCCTCCCCCCATTCCTGGAATAGTTTCAACAGGTCTCATTGTTCCATTTTCATACATGAGTACATAGTATTTCCACCACATTCACCTTACACCCTTTCTTATATACTCCCCTCTCTCACTGGTACCAGCTTCCAGACAGGACCTGTTTTACCTTTCTGTTCTCTGTTTTTGAAAATTGATATTTTTGTTTGTTTAAGATAGTTATACAGGGAGTTTTACTGTGACATTTCCATGTATGTAAATTCTAACCCAAATTGGTTCATCCCATCCCCTCTTATTTTTCTCCTTCTATCTTAGTCCCCTTCTTCTGGTGATTTCAACAGGTTTAAAAATTGTATGTTCATTCTTGTATAGAAAGTACATCAATCATATTCACCTTTACCCTCCTTCTCCCATTATATGCTAACATTTTAAAAGAAGAAATAGTCAATAACAAGCAAATATACTTACCTTGTTCATTTTCAAAGAAATGGAATGCCTTCTTGAATTTAAATGTAACATTGAAAAGATACCAATATTAAACTCAGTGATAGGGATATTACAAATTAAGATGTTTCTTAAATACTGGAAAAATCTTTTGGAACATGATTTTTAACGTGGATCTAGGTCTAAGCCCATTTTCACTTCTTAGTCACATCAAGCCTTAACCTAATTTCCATTCCAGTCACTTTCTAAATTCAATATTAGAATATCATTGGACACCATATTAAGGACATGGTTGATTAAAGTATAATACTATAAAATTGATTTACATATGTTATGTTATTATTTTTAATTATTTTATATAATTTATATTTAATTATAATTATATATAATTACAAATATATTTAATGTATATATTAAATATTATAAATATATAATTATTTATATTATTTTACTTATGTTATTATTACTTTATTTTATTTAACCACTTTTCTCCTTTCTCCTATAGCAAGCTGGCTGCCTCTTTCCAGAGTATGGAAGTCAGGAACTCTAACTTTGCTGCTTTCATTGACATCTTTACATCCAATACTTATGTGATGGTCGTGATGTCTGATCCATCCATTCGTAAGTTTAGACTTTGCTGACATAATTGCAAAGCCACATATTTTTTAAACAATTGCTGTAGAGGTAGTACTTTATTAGGTAATTTAACTATTTTGTAGTGGGGATAGGTGCACAATATTATGAAAAGTATTTAATCTTACTAAACTGTGCACTTAAAAATAGTAAGCATGGTAAATTTTATGTTATGTTTATTTTACCACACTTAAAGAATAGTTTTTTTAATTTAATAGGCTTATATTTTGAAGCTGAAAAATAATTTATCATCTAAAGTATTGTTTTTCTTCATGGAAACTTCAGAAAGCAAGACTTAAATCTAGGAATTTTAAAGAAGATAGAACCCAGATCCATGATTTGTGCTCCATATGGTATAGCTTTTTAAAAGACTTGTCCGTATAACCTCTAAGATACTACATAGTGAACCATTTTATATGTCATTGCATATTCCTATCTGCGACAGCTCCATGTTTTTTGTTATGGGAATGAAGGGAAGTTTATCACAACCATTAGAATAGAGATTCTTACAGAATTTCCAGAATGTTCTCAGAAGTTAAAATTATTCGTCATCCACTGGCTTTTCCTACTTTAGGTTAATATCAAAATATAACATAAGATAATGTGGTTTTTGCTATTTACCTCAAACCAAAAGATTTTTTAGAAATTATATATTTAGAATATGAGCAATCTTCTGCTTCTTCAAAAATATCAAACGTTGGTTACTTGGATCCTCCTGTTCCTGTATGTTCTGTGTGATATACATTGAAGTTTTTGGCTATGTTTTGTTTGTTTTTACTTGTGAGAAATTCCTTTGG